TTCTGATGTTTGACTTAGACGCAGGAAACTGGTGCTTACTGATGACTTGAAAGGGAACTGGTTGGAAGTACATGCTGGCTTTTTATTATTTAAAAAAAAATCTTGCATTTTGATTGTCAGGCTACTAAATGCCTAGTATTGCCTAGTATTTTGGAGTGGCATTTGCAGAAGCCCCAGTACATAATATAATTTCTGCCTGTCAGTCTGGAAATGACAATTTCTTTACTTCCGAGCGGAGTTCAGCAGTGCTCAAAACGTTTAGATTTCTCATCAGCTGTCTCCATCGTGTTTTCCAGCAGTGTGTGCTGGTGGAAGACCAGCTCCCCGGGGAAACTTCACAAACTTCAGTACCTCTTATAAACTGGGCCTTGGGGAGTAGACCTCTGCCCTCCTTGAGCACAAGGCTGCGATGTTCAAAACTGCTGTTTCTTTGCATCCTAAGCCTGATAAGTGAAGATGCTGGGAATAGCTTTGCAAAGCCAGGATGTCAGTAACCTCCTTGAAGTCTATCTTCTGTTTCTTGGCTCTATTTCTTTTCACTGCCAGGCATGAAAGTTTGCTTTAGGATGGCTCTAAGCACCGGGGTGCTTACAAGAACACGTGTTTCGAGAAAGAAGTTGATGAAATTCCTTCATGGTTCTCAGTACTTCACATAAAATCAAATGCTGCTGAGAATCTAGACTGCCTATCAGAAAGGGGACAAATGGATGTGGTGTCTGTACCTGAGTAAAAATGTAGGACACTTTTTAATGAAAAGAATGTAGCCTTTTGGGAAGCACGGGTATATCCCTGGGTGCCACAGGCCTTTGGACTTGTAAGGAGCAAATCCTAGGGCTGCTGAAGTGTTTTGCTATGTCCCGTGGAAATCTGCTCAGATTTCTTTGGGGCTGAAATGCTGAAAAACCCTCCCTTTCCATCGTCTGCTGTATGTGCCGTAGAAGAGCGCTGGGCAGTGGGCCAAGCAATCTGTGAGCAGCAGCGCTCGAACCGGGGCTTTGGCCGCAGGGCAGCACACGGGCTGCACTGAAGGTCAGAAGCCCCCTCAGCTCGGGAGAAGAGCTGCAGGCGGGTGCCCGCTCCGGCCTGCCCCAGCCGCACCAAAGTGCGCAGAACCGGTGCGTGCGGGCAGCTCGTGCCATCCCCGTGGCCCTGCCGTAGAGCGCGGCCGGGAGGCGCCCGCGCAGCGGCCCGGTGGCGGCTGGCGCGCAGCCGTTCGCCCCTGCGTGACGGCGGGCTTTCTGTCAGGTGGGAAACGGTCTCCTCCTTCCGACCCTGCTGCCACGGGGGGGGCAGTGCGGGAGACTCGCCCTCTGAGCTCTCGTGCCTGTTTGTGAAAGGAAGGGTTGTGCAGAATCAGACTTTTTTTCCACCTCTTCTTCTTGAAGGCCTTAGTTTAGGCCATGCATGGAGAGGCTGTTGAAGGGCCCCCTGCTAGAGCTGGTAAAAGCTGGGGAAGGCTCAGGAAGGGTCACTTCAGGGGAAGCTTCGTCCTCTGTCCCAGGCTTTCGGAGAGCCCGTGCTGCGCTAGGCTGTGGCAGGCAGGCCTTGGGAAAATGCCAGGGGAAGGGAGCTGGCCCGGGGGAGCACAGGTGTTTGACACCCTCAGATTTTCTTTTTTTTCTGGTCCCCATCCCCTATCTTGCCACCGCACCCAGACCTTGCCTGTGGTGTCTCCATCAGTCTTTAAAGCCCTCAGCACTGCCTTGTAGCCTTCTCTAAAGCTTCAAGCCCTCAAGAATCTCATTTCACCTGATGAGGAGTGTAAGAGACTGTCAGGATGAGTGTAGGGAGGAGGTTGTGGTTTTGTTTCCCTGATTTGTCTCCTTCTTAGCCATTTCTCCAATACGTAAATAGTGTTCTTCTACCACTGTCATAAAAACCTTATTTTTAATGTCTGTGAGGTTCTTGGATGCTATAGGATGCCCTAAGGAGCAAAAAAAAGTAAAAACCTCGAACGAGGAGGTGATTAACTGCAGCCTCTTCTGCTCACGGAGAGAACAGGCCAGGGATAACTCGCCAAACCCAAGTACTGGGCAGCTGCTTCCTCCCCTTCTGGGCTGAGTGGCCTGTGGAGGTGGGAAAGAAATCCATATGCAGTTATGTAGCTGTCCAAGACCCTCGTCCTAGGGCATTGCCACCGGGAGGACAAACAAGGGCTCTGTGGGTAACTTCTGTGCTGGTATTTCCAAGCTTTCAGAGCACTAAAGAATGGAGGAAAGGAGGTGGGTGTTGGTTGTTTGCCAGCTGATTTTTATTTTTTGGTACATAGCTCCCCGTGCTCATGGGTGTAGGTGGTGCTTTACAGCAGAGCGGAGCAGAGCACGTTGCTGCTGCCTGCCCCAGAGGGCTTCTCATGCACGGGCCATGCGTGGGCGCAGTGCGGGTGAACAGAGGGAGCTCTGTTCGCTGGGATGCGTTAGCAGAGGGGCTCTGGAAGCTGGCTAGAAATATGAGGCTCCCCACATCAGGGAGCCTCAGACTGAGCCGGGCAGTTTTCAGCGATCCATTTGAATAGAAGGTCTCTGACCCCGTCTGCTGAAGCTTCAATTGGGAACCTTGTCAGAGAATATTGTTGTGAGCATGACCTTCTGTGGTGACCAGAGGGTTGAGTCTGCTGAAACAAGGGCCTGTGAGCCACACTCTAAAACTTGTCTGACTAATGAAGGCCTTAAATGCAGGGCAGGGGGGAGCTGCCTGATTGGGCTTCTCCGGAAATTGGAAGCTTATGTGCAAGTGTGGGAAAATTCCTGTTGGAGTTGTGTAGTGTGTTGAGGGGTCTGGGAGCAATTGCTCAAATAGCTCCTGATTGATTCCAGATGCCTCCTGTGGTATAGAAAGATGTAGGGGAATTGTCCCAACTGCTCCCGAGTGGCTCCTGTGAGCATGGGAGGTGTTATTTTTGTTTCGTTTTGGGTTTTTTGTTGTTGTTCAGCTCTATATCTTCTATTATTGTCTAGAGGGAAAGTTTCTAAAATGCAGCAAATCTTTCTGATCCCCAAACTGGTCCTTGCTGTTTAGTAGGTAACATCTTTTTCCTGGGATGCAGATGTAGCAGGGCATGCGGTATGTTTGTGTGTAAATATAAAATGTGTCATGAGCCTATCAGTTCAGCTCATCTTAAGTGTTGGGCAAGTTTAAAATGAAAGCAAATTTTAGCTTTATAAGGTAAAAGATTAAAACTTGCATTACAAAACCAGTAAGGAAACAACAATCTTTTCTGATTGCAGAAAGGAAACAGCAAAGGCAGCAGTTAGCGCTCATGAAGGACACAACAGCAGTTTCTCTGAACCCTATTTAGGCTGAATCTCTTTGAGAGCAAAGTGGTCTTGAAGGGTCAATGTTTAGACCATCGTTAACCTTTTCTCTCAATAAGTGAATTGCAGTTACAGTCAGCAGAACTTGTACCATAGGGTTTTGCATTTTGTCTTGACGTGGGCTGGTGTTTACAAGGCTCTACCTAGCAAGTATTTGCACGAGTCAGTTCAAGGGTTGCTTGCTCTACAGCAATGTAGCAATTATTTCCCTAGTGTAGAGAATCTTGTAAGTGTCCTTATTCCTGGGCCCTGCACAAAATCCAATTAGCTGAACTTTGCCCAGTTGGATTTCTCACCGCTTGTCTCACATTAAGTGGGACACGAGCAGAGCCTGGGAACGGGTCCTCCAAAGACAAAGAGAGGACCTGGATGACCCTGCTGTGATTTGGGGGGTGAGTTGGTTGTCTTCTATGCCCTGTAGCCTTTGTGGAGGGAGCTTTGCTCTATTTTCTTCAGTAACGTTTAAGAAGCAGATCCGGATTTAAAGTGGAAAGTCTAGATTTCCCCATCTTTGAGCAGGGAGGTATGTGGCACCAGAGAGATGCTCCTCAGTAGGGCTGTTCTGCAAAGTCACCATGAGCTGTCAGAGGAGACAGAGATGGAAGCAATACAAATGGGCTGGTTTGGGGGCAGCTTCCTCATTTGTGGTTTGTTGTTTTATTGAATGACTTTTAAATAATTCTCTAAGAAATTTCTCTGAGTTCTCCTGTAGCCTGGCCAAATATTTGAGGGAGAGGTCTGCGTTGGGCTCCTAAAAATGACTTTCTCCTAAAGAAAGCTTAAAAAAATAAACTTGTATAAGGAAAAAATATAGCTATTTTAAAAACGTTGTCATCAACTATGTCAGGGGAGGGGGTAAAGAAAAAAAAAAAAAAAGAACACCTAGATACCTAGCTAAACTATTTGCAAGGTGCTGAATGGTCATTATTACAAAACTGAGTCCCTGCTGAAAATGTTGACTGGTGATTTGGTATTTTGTATCCATTTGGCAGGATAGGGAAGAGATGAGGAGGAATGTGAGGGAGCACTTGAGACTTCACAGAGAGAAAACAACAGGGATTTTAGAAATTTTTTTTTAACATAGCTAGTGCCATTTTAAAATATAAAGCGAGAGTACTTGGTTGCAGCAAAGCTGTTTCCCATACTGTTGTGGAGTAGCTATGTAAAACAGCTAAAATCAGTGGTCTAGTGGGTTTCCAGGGTAAGTTATGGGGCAATTCTGTACTTTGGCATTGCACCCATAGTGCATGGGGGTTTGCATCCTTCCTTCCTGTAGGAGAAGGTCCCACCCTTTTTCTGTCTTGGACCTAATCAAGAGTTGTTGGGCTATAACCAACCTCTAGTGAAACAGCTGTGGGAAAAAGATAGCCAGCCCTAAGGATGTTCTGGGCCTCTTGTGCAGAAACCCTGTTGTAATGAATGTGCATGTCCCTAAATATAACCATTTGGGTGCCTGCTGTCTTTGCTGTGCTACTGGGATAACAAGTGTCACCAAAAAAATGCATCAGATGAAGCTCATCAACGTTCTCTGTCGTGTAACGTTCTCTGTCTTGTTCATGGTAGTTTCTTCTTAACACAGTGGCAGTTGGTAGGTGGAAGTCTAGCTATGTGCTGTCTCTTCAAAACAGCCACTGTGCAAAATACCTCGGAGACATCACTGACGTTACTTTTTTCCTTTTTTTCCAGACTGTCCCCAACCACCGCAGCCCGAGAATGGAGGCTACAAGTGCCACCCAAGTCCCTGCAACGACCCCCTAGTTTCAGGCAGTGTCATTGAGTACCTGTGTGGCGAAGGCTACATGCTGAAGGGAGACTACAAATATCTGACCTGCAAGAATGGGCAGTGGAACCCGGCTATGGAAGTTAGCTGCAGACTCAGCCCGGGTGAGTGCTCAGGGACACCACCGGGGCTGTCAGAACTGCCCTCACCTCTGCTTTCCAGCTTCTCCATAAGCACTGGGGCACTGTTATGCTGAGGTACACCAGATAGGCTGCCTCTGTTGCCCAGTACCCACTTGCTCCAGCAGTTTAATAAATGCAGCTAACAATCACAGAAATCTTTATTAAAAATGTCTCTTCTGTAACAACCTATCAGCTGCAAGCCAACGATCCTTTGCAGGAAGGTATCTCACGGAAAGGAGTGCAAGGGAGGCAGCTTAGAATTATTTGGGATCCTTTCCATTTGTCAGCTCTGGCTTTAGAGTTGGGGGAGGCCCTAACTTAAGCATTTTCTATCCTGTCCATTTTTGCTTCTGCTGGGCTTTGACAGTTCCTCACTGGTGCACCCTTTTGTCAACACATGCAGTTGTGAGGGAGAATATGGAGCTCATCTTCTTACTTGCAAACATATTAAACTGCTGGCCTGCTGGGGTAGGCTGTAGGCTGCAAGAAAAGGATGTTGCTGACAAATGGTTTCTGCTGCTTTCTAAATGGGAGCAAACAGCTTTTGTTTTATGGGTGTCTCCCAGCTGAACAGGAATTCCTCTACCAGGACAAAGTAAAAAAGTTTGAGGGGAA